TGGAAACAGAAATCCCAAATAATTCCGAATCCCGGAAAAACGCAATATCCCCTAATCCCAATAATCATTAAACAGAATATCCTAAAATCCCAATAATCCTTAAACCGAATATCCGAAGATCTCCTAATCCAAATATTCGCTAATCCAAATATCTCCTAATCCGAATATCTCCTAATCTGAATATCTCCTCATCCCAATATTCGCTAATCCGAATATCTCCTAATCCGAATATCTCCTAATCCCAATATTCGCTAATCCGAATATCTCCTAATCCGAATATCTCCTAATCCCAATATTCGCTAATCCGAATATCTCCTACTCCGAATATCTCTTAATCCCAATATTCGCTAATCCGAATATCTCCTACTCCGAATATGTGCTAATCCCAATATCTGCTAATCCCAATATCCCCTAATCCCAATATCCACACATCCGAATATCCCCTAATCCCAATATCTCTTAATCCGCTAATCCCACCAACCCTATATCCGTTAATCCGCTACGACCACTTTCACCTACCATCCTACTCCCTTACGACTATAACCGAATATATATAATATAAAAGAAATAACCCCTAATCCCCTTCTTACAGTCAGCTGACTTTTTCGAAAATGGGCATGAGAGTGATCGGTTCCTTCTTCAAACTTGTCAATAACTGTCTCAATGAGGTTAAATTCAAAAGGGGGGTTGGCGGCGCCCCCTTCAATATGAGTTTCGTTCTTTTCCCATGTTCCGACAGAGCCCAATATTTCGTCCTTGGGATCCAAACTACAGTAGGACCGTAGTACACCGCTTTCGTTGAAACAATCAGCAAATAGCTCTGTTGAGACAGAACAAGAATGATACCACAACTTGTAGAGAGAGGGCAAGGCAATCCAAGCATTACACACCTCACGACTCCGCGTCCACAGCCGGCCCCTCCCAGCGCTGTAGAGTCGCGCCCCACCCCGTGACGCCCGATGCACCGTGAGTCTATGGCACGCGCTCGCGCCGTCGACACGCACGCGTCACACCGCACAACTCCGCGTCCACAGCCGGCCCCTCCCAGCGCTGTAAAGTCGCGCCCCACCCCGTGACGCTCGATGCACCGTGAGTCTATGGCACGCGCTCGCGCCGTCGACACGCGCGCGTCACACCGCACGACTCCGCGTCCACAGCCGGCCGCCCCCAGCACTGTAGAGCCGCGCCCTTCCTCGCGGCCGCTGCGCCCCTCCACCTCCCCCCCTGATCCCAATTGACTCTGATTCCTCTCCCTGCCGTTTCAGCCATAACAGCTCTTTGCCGGAGCACCATCACCGGCCGAAAAAACAAAGCGGTGAGCGGTTCGTTACCAACTATGATTCACTCGGTTGGGGGGATGAGGGTGGCGAGCGAGGGACTGTTCCCCGTGAGAGGCAGATTGTATGAGCATGGGCCTGCCGATGCAGCCCGCAAGAGGGCCACCATGGAGGAAAGGGCGGGGATGGGCGGGGGGAGATGGAGGAGGTGGAGGGGGGGCCGCCGCTTGCAAGACAGTGGGGTTGAAAGGTGAACAGTCGGCTGCACATAGCGGCGTGCATCCGGCTGCATATGGGAGTTTAGACAGTAAGAAGGCAGGGGCGGGGATGGTTGGGGGCGATGAAAGGAGTCCACGGTGGGGAAGAGGGGTTCTGTACGGGGGGGGGAGGAAGGAGGGGAGTGGGGAAGCGGGCGGCGACGGTGGGGGTAAGTGGATGGGGGAGGAGGAGGTCAAGACATGGCCGTATGCGCGACGCACGGAGAAGTGAATATGTGCCCAAACGGAGCCGATTTGCTGAATCTCGATCTCACCGTTCCATCGCGGCCGTGTCCGGCTGCATCGCATCGCCCCAGACGTGTCTCCCCAATCAACGCCTCCGCGTGCACCGCCGCCAGTTCTGCATACACCTTCCAAGAGCCGCGCCGTTCCACCTTCACCGCTTGCCTACCGCTTTACCTTCAAACTCCCGTGCGTGTCCGCTTCATTGTACACATTCGCCTATTCGTGCGTGACCCTCCAGTTGACCGCGGATGGTGGTCGCGCCTCGCGCGTTTCTGCACTACACCCATTGCCTCGTTGTCCCTGTGCAGTCAGGGAGCAAGCGGGAAATGCTCTCCGGGCCACAGCCGCCTGCTTTCCGATTTCTACGTGCCCGCTGGAGCTCGCCGCCGAGCTCGCCGTGATGCAGGTCAGGGATGCTTTCTGGTCGCCTTCGATTTGTTGCTATCAATTTTGGAGAGCAGGGGCAGCTCGGATGCACGTCGGAGCAACGTGCCGTTCGGGGGCAGCTTGAGAGGGGCGCAGTGGGGATTGTAGAGGTGGACGTGGACGGCGGGCCATTAATGAGCATGAGCAAAGGCAACTCTTCCCGCTAATTACGGGTTTTGCAAGCCGGCGGTATTCGCAAAGCCATCCTCCTGGCGCTCTCCCCTACAAGTATATTCAGAATCCCTGCCATATTCGCAACAGACACGTTTCTACCCTCGCATGATTTGCAGAATCCACACATCAAGCGCGGGTTCAAAACTATCTATTGCTTGTAAGGAAACGGTCTGCACTGCAGCACGCCGCACCCGACGCCTCCCATCCGCGTTCCCACGGGAACAAAGGAGTCCGACTGAGCTGATAAGGTTGGATGACGCAAGCCCACGGCATGATGCTCTGCTTAGAGATGACACTTTGGAAGAATCGTCGGGCGCCACATCGGACCCATTTCCTTTGCCCACCCCTCGCAATCGCCAAACTTCTTAGTGCGTCAAACTCAGCACTCACCCGAGTTTTTCCCAGCCGATATATCATATTCATCGTCAAACTGGCCGATCACATCCCATGCTACAGATGCGTTTGCAAATTCGTGCGCTTCCGAGGCTTCAATGTGCTTTCGAATAACGCGTCAAATCTCTGATGTGTAGAACCGCTTGACTTAGCTTCTGAGATAACCTCGAACTCATTTGGTGTTTTCCCCTTCAATAACGTCGCAAGTTTCAATTCCAGTTGAAACGGTTCCTTCCTACAATAATAAAACTTGATAGAGTTGTCCCCGAGCTTCTCTGGCCACTTGATCAACTGACTAGAGAACTCCAATTCTGCACTCTTCAGCACATCCCGACATTCATCGTACAGCGGAAGTGCTCCTCGATTGGGAAGAATTTCTCCAGCAGCTTGCACCGGCTCTTAGGACGAAAGTGTCACCGAGAAAACAGTTCAGTTTCTCCCAAGCTCCCTTCGAGAAGCCGCACCCGGGTGAGTACAACCCACCGGATCGTTTTTAGACGTAGGAGGGACCTTGTCCATGACCTCGTGCAAAGTGTCCATGGCTTCCAGACAATCTTGAAGGCCACGAAGAACGGTGACAAACGCGGTGTTTGTTCGAATCAACAAACATGGCAGCGCCGCTGTCACCTGTAGCTTGGTGATGTAGCTTTGGCAGGGCAAGCCCTAAAATCTTTCTTCGTCTTCAGAGTACACGTTCACTCAGCGAAAACCAAAAAAAACATATCCTCCTGTCGTTGCTGTTCTCAAAAGTGACAGCGTACCGCCATGATGCCTGAGCGAGGGGATGAGGGTGAGATGCATTACAGGTTTGTTATGCCCGCTCCATGAAACACGCTTGCTCATTTACCGTCACCTTTCCCCTTACACCCACAGCAGAGCCCCCTTCCCACTCCTGACGTCATTTTACTTTCAGAATATCCCATATTCCCCCACCCACCCAAACTACCCCGCCCATTCAATCCCACATGCACGTTACGCGCCCACCCGTTTTATCGGAGCAGACGTTCAATTCTTTCTATGATGTACAGTATAGCTGCGTGCCAAAGTGCCCCTCTCAACATGGTCAACCTTCCGTGCTTCTGCACCGCGCGAACCCGAGAGGATATAGATCACATGACAACCACAGTGCTGACTCAGACCATCTCAAGCAATGACCCGCAATTCATCTCGTCTCGCTAAGCGCCCGCCAAAACGCACTCCCCTGCTGTTTCGGAACAAATGCGCCCTCACATGCCAGGCCGCCAAGCAGCGCGTCAAGCTCCTCAATAAAAATCAAGAAGGATCCGGAACACAAGGGAAGACCCACCGACGATGACCACGAGTTCTTATCTTGAGCAAAAGCAATTCAACGGAGCGCGCCAATATTATCCACGCTCAGATCGACTTTGTCAAGTGCCTCCTACGTCGCGAGCTTGAGAAGCTCAATGATCTCATTCCCACAAAAACGTCTTCATCCCGACGGAGCTCCTGCCGCATCGCGTTAAAAAGTTTTTTGGATGTGGTTGTTGATTTAGAAGCCACTACAAAATTCATTTTCGCAAGCTCTAGACTCGCGCGCCCTACAAAGTTCTCGCTTCTCGGGACAGCGGGGCCTATTTCCGCTAACGAATGGCCTCGCATCGAATCATTTGACGTTTGCTCTAAAGGAAACGACAACGTTTTTACAAGCTAGCCCGACGACTGTATCCATCTGCATCTCCATCGACTACAGTTACATCACTGGCTTGACCACTGGAATTTCCAAGCATCATCCCGGCGAAGAGGAGTCCCGTGATCGCTGTCATAAGCTCGGGAAAATCGCAAAATCCATCGCGGACAAAGATCGAGCCAATCCAAGAGCTCACAGCCCAGAGTGCTTGAGATAGAAACACGGAGATACCGAACATTATCCCGGCAACCATTGCTGACTTGCGCCCATTCCTAATTGGAATCTCAAGTGCTGCGTTGTACTTTCGCATGAAGACATCCTGCACACCCACGGATGTAACGGTATCAGAGTTATTCACTGCCTCGGACGAGGTAACTTCACCTTGCTGCACATCGTAAAACCTCTCAACCAGACGCACTGTGGTACTTTTGCCGCATCCGCTCGATCCGACAAGCGCATGAGCTGTGCCTGGAGGGACATCAAGGTTGACGTTGTTCAGGACAAACTCTTTCATAGCATCATCTTCCAAGTCGTCGATGATACGTGAGGCATAGTTGAAAAAGACGTTCTTAAACTCAAATGCGACCGCTAAACTCATTGATAACTTCACCTTCATCTTCCGCCAGGGGGTTTATCTCAGACGGTCGGTCAATACCTCATACACGCGTGGGGCAGCCCCACGAGCTACCGCGAAAGCCTGGAATGATGGAGCGGCTTCATCGCAGAAAAAAAAACAAGGGCAACAAACGGCGAAAATTCGTCTTATCGAAAACGCAGGAGGTTAGGCAATCTGTGCATGCGCGCAAACGTAATTCTTACCCGCACTCTTCGATTCGTGTGACCATCAGCAAGAAAGGAGAAGAGGAAGAAAAGGCAGAACTCACCTTGCCCGATCGAAACACAAGCGATAAAAACGGAAAAAAAGTGGTGAGAACATCCCCCGGATCCATTTTCATTTCTCTTACTCTCCGCGCACCGAACACAAACGCAACCGCATACGTAGAGAATATAATGAAAAAGGTAACGCCCATGCCTAACCCACTGATAACGGCCTTCTTCACGTCAGCCTTGTACGCGATCTCCAACTCGTTCTCATACCTCCTCGCCTCGCTCTCCTAGCCATGGCGGCGGCGGTTCTGAACTGCGGCGATGGCGGTAGAGAGGAACGGCGGCGACGGCGGGGAAGAGGAACGGCGGCAGCGGTGCTGAGGAATGGCGGCGGCGGCGGCGGTGAGAAATGGCGACGGCTGCAGCGGTGCCGAATGGCGGCAGCGGCGGTGGTCGCGGCGACGGCGGTGGCAGCGGCGGTGGCGGCGGCAGCAGAAGGACGAGGGCAGAGCAAGAGGTACGGCGGGGGCAGGGGTAGGGATAGGGAAAAAGGGGACGGGGAAGGGGAAGCGAGCGACAATGATGGGGAGGATGGGGGGCGATGGGGAATGATGGGGAATGATGGGGAATGATCGCAAAAAATGAGCCGCATAAATAACCAAATCCGCGCCCCGTATTGTCCCAGTGGTACAGAAAGTATGATAACCCGAAAACATGGAAACAGAAATCCCAAATAATTCCGAATCCCGGAAAAACGCAATATCCCCTAATCCCAATAATCATTAAACAGAATATCCTAAAATCCCAATAATCCTTAAACCGAATATCCGAAGATCTCCTAATCCAAATATTCGCTAATCCAAATATCTCCTAATTCGAATATCTCCAAATCCGAATATCTCCTAATCCGAATATCTCCTAATCCCAATATCTCCTAATCCGAATATCTCCTAATCCCAATATTCGCTAAACCGAATATCTCCTAATCCCAATATTTTCTAATCCCAATATCTCCTACTCCCAATATCCACATATCCGAATATCCCCTAATCTCAATAACTCCTAATCCCAATATTCGCTAACCCGAATATCTCCTAATCCTAATATTCGCTAACCCGAATATCTCCTAATCCGAATATCTTCTAATCCCAATATTCGCTAATCCGCATATCTCCTCATCCCAATATCCCTTAATCCCAATATCCGCTAATCCCAATATCCCCTAATCCCAATATCCACATATCCGAATATCCCCTAATCCCAATATCTCTTAATCCGCTAATCCCACCATCCCTATATCCGTTCATCCGCTACGACCACTTTCACCTACGATCCTACTCCCTTACGACTATAACCGAATATATATAATATAAAAGAAACAACCCATCTATATATTATATAAGCGAATATCCCCTAAATCCCCTAATCCCGCTAATCTCCGTCGTCCCTTAAATCGCCTAAATCCCTTAATCGCCGAAATCCCGCCAATCTCCGTCCTCCTTTAAATCCCCTAAATCCCCTCATTGCCTAAATCCCCTAATCCCCCTCTGTTCGGACATGGGAATAGATGGTCCCTACATCCTTATATCAATATGCGTAAACCTGTGATTCCGCCTAATTCCCCTAATTCCCTAAACGGACAGGGATAGTCGTAAGAGGGCGGGCGCGTTGGAGGAGGGGCAACAGGAGTACGGAAGGGGAGCGGTGTGGTTCCAGAGAACGTGCGGATGAGATTGTCTCATACAGTATGTGGTCATTCAGGGCGGGGGAAGGAGTGGAACGGACAGAGTAAGTGAGATCAGTAGTGAACCAATAGACGCGCGTTACGAGGAGCGCCAGCCAGTAGATGCGCGTCGGGATTCAGGGGCGTGAATAGGGGAACCGCGAATGATATCGTGACAGCGACGAACGGGATCAATGACGCGACATGACAGCGAGGATGACGTCCATCCGGCCAACGGCTGACGTCGGATGCATGTCGGCAATTTTCGACGTCCATCCCGTATGATAAAATAATCAAATTTGGCCCTGTGCGCATTGAAATTTTTCCAGATTTTTTTCTAGCCAATGCGCACTCCGTCAGACCGAAGTAAATTTGCGCTTAATTTCAGCCCACCTGAACGCGCGTCTGTTCGGACATGGGAATAGGCTCCCCGTTCTCCTACTCAGTATGAGCCCCTCGCAGGTCTTATTTCGACGCAATGTTCACATATACAGGGTTCTCGTACTCACTGACCCCCCGCTCTCTCTCTTTCCCTCTTCTCTTCTTCCCCAGCGTTTCGCATCCCCGAAACCCCTCACCTCTCGCCTCCTTTCCCGCTCTCTCCCGACTTCACGCGCAATGACTGCGCCATCGCATGCCGCCGCTTTCATCCGCAACGATCCTCGGGTGCCACTGCATCTCGCACCTACGTCCTTGTCTGTTGGCTTCCATTCCATCCCCCTCATCCTTGTCTGCGTCGATTGCAAGAGCGGGTCCCCCAGCGCAAGGGCCTTCAGCGACCACTTGCGCCACGTTCACAACATCCCTACTCCCCAGGCCGCACAGCGCTCTAGACTCGCAAAAGAAGCCCTCTCCTTCCACCGTACCTCTGTTTCCGACTCTCCGCTCCTTTCCGACTACCTGCAGGCTCCCCAATTCCTCCCCGATCCGGCCATCACTCTTCCGATCAAGAGCCTCCCCCCGCTTCAAGGATTCACTTGCAAATTAGTCTACTTCTGTCCTCTTTGCAAGCTCTCCAAGGGCACCCCGAAACGGCTTCGACAGCATATGAACTCCGTCCACCCGCCTGATGCACCCGGAAACCCCTCGCCGACCGAGGTTGATCAAATCATTGGCCGCGGTGCTGTTCGCGCCCAGTCTCTGTTTAGTGGTGCCAAGACCAAATACTTTCCCGTTACGGCCGAAGAGCCAATCGGGGAAATGGTCACCGTCTCCCAAGTCCCCGTCGGCATTCCTGACTCAGAAGAAGAAGATCCCATCCAATCCGCCCCGGTGTCGTCACCCCTCCCCATGGACACAACAACCGACTCAACTCTAGATCTCATCACTCCAGACCCCAACTCCCCGTCTTATGAGCTCCACAAATGTGCCGCCGACGTACTGGCCCGTCTAACGTGTTCCAGTTCGGACCTGGCCCCGGGTCGACGATCTCATACCGAATTGGAGGAAAATGACGCAGACTCCGGCATCGCCCTCTGCAACACATTCCTGTCGATCACCGACTTTGATGAAGCCCTCGACGCTCTGCCTTTACGCCGTGAGAAGGCAGCTCAACTCACGGGTGCCGTCACGACGGAGGACGTTCAAGCAACTTTATCCACGGTTGCAACCTGCGTCCATCTATACTTTCAAAGTATCGCCAAGGTCGTCAGGGACGTCACGCATGGATTTCGTCAAGCGATAAACCTCCACGGCACTACGCCCTTCCGACGGGTTCAATCCGTGGCAGAACGAAGATATGCTAGTCATGTTGCCCGCCTCCTCTTCTTCACCCATCAGACACGGGACGCCGACTTTTCCCGTAATGAACAGACTTCCATCGCGATGTTTCTCCACTACACAAACAACCCCACAAAATTTTCACTTGTGCTTTCGTAACGGCCATCTACTACAGAAGTAGCTGAAACAGAAAAGAAACATGCAAACTCACCGTTCAGGCCCCTTGCAGGACGCGTCTTGCGAGTAGCCCTCTCCAAAGTATCATTCTCCCACCCTTCCAAAACGCATCGTTCTCGCGCCCCTCCAGAACGCATCATGGGCGCACCCCTCTCGAACGTATCATTCTCGCACCCCTTCAGAACGCATCGTGGGCGCACCTCTCCCGAACGTATCATTCTCGCACCCTTCCAAAATGCATTGTTCTCGCGCCCCTCCAGAACGCATCATGGGCGCACCCCTCTCGAACGTATCATTCTCGCACCCCTTCAGAACGCATCGTGGGCGCACCCCTCCCGAACGTATCATTCTCGCACCCTTCCAAAATGCATTGTTCTCGCGCCCCTCCAGACCGCATCATGGGCGCACCCCTCCCGAACGCATCAATCTCGCACCCCCTTACAACGCGTCGTGGGCGCACCCCTCTCGAACGTATCATTCTGGCATCCCTCTAAAACGAATGATGAGCGCACCCCTATAGAACACATCACGAGCGCACCCCTCTCCAACGTAGCATTCTGGCACCCCTTCCAACGCATCATTCTCGCACCCCCTCAGCTCGCATCCTAGACGCACCTCTCCAGAACGCATCGTGCGCGCATCCCTCCCCAACGCATCTCTGACACACCCGTCCAAAATGCGTCGTTGAGGCAACGATCATCGAAACCTGCATACGGCGCTTTTCAATTTCGCGCAGTAAATAACTTAGAAAGCTTTGATGTTCAGGACATAAATCACGCCGCCTTATTGTGTAACTCGTACATGCGCACTGCGACGCCGTCAGTGCAGTATAAGTCCCTGCCACTAAATCTGCCTGCTGTAATTGCCCCACCCAGCACGATACGTTTTGGGCATCTGACAATCTTGCCAGACGAGGGACACGGTACGTTATAAAATATGAAGTTAATAATATTGCTCATGCGCCTCTAATCGCACACGGCAAAAACTAAATTTTGCGCACTGACATTTTATTGGCTGTGCGCCGCCGTCGGCAAAATTTTAGTCAGAAATTCCCAACAGCAATGTTGCCAATACAGCGCGTATGGGGGTGCCGCCGTGTAAATCGGCCTAAAACGTATCGTCCCACCAGAAAACTGTCGCCGTTAAAACCGCCCGGCACGATACGTTTTGGGCCATATACCGTAGGCAGTACCAAAATCGCACATACGTCGAATCAGGCCTGGACGATACGTTTTTTGTCATTACGTATCGATCCTGACATGTGCCAAAAACGTATCGTCCAGCGGGAACTGACGCCGGAACTAAACATAGGAAATATCCCCTAATCCCACCGATTCCCCCAATCCCTCCTACTCCTCCTAATCCCACCGAATCCCTTAATCCCATTTTTTTGAAATTGCGTTAATTAATTAATTTGTGCAATTACATTTTAATATTTGAAATTAAATTAATGTTTTCTAAATATGGATTTTTTAAATGGGGCTCAGGGTGAAGTAGTTTAGTGCTGTGAGCTGTAATTGTTTATTGTACACTGCCATTTTGCCTTAGCTTCTCACGGATACCTCAACTTCAGCTCCACGTGTCATTTTTACCTAAACTCCTCATGGCTCTGGGCTCTATAAATAGATACCCCTCCTCGTTGATCTCAAAGTTGCCCCTTCGAGCCCTCCCA